CCCCAAAACCCCAAAACCCCAAAACCCCAAAACCCCTAGATGAGGTATAGCTATTGGAATAAAGAGTTTTATATATTGCTTAATGATCTATTCTCTGTATATCTGAGAGCCTGCTTACTCTGAGCTCTAGAAGTAAATTTACTTAATTTTGAAGGAATTTTAGACCCAATCGAACTCTTCAATTTTGTATTTTTGTACATATCAATGTCCTGACTGCTCTGGTTGTTCATTCTTGCTAGATAGATTGCTTCGAGATCACGAATTCTGCTATTTAGAACTGGTTTTGAGGACCTTTAGCAATGAAAATAGCAGCTTACATTGGTCTTTTGCTCCCTACGTCCCATTTGTCATTTTGTAAGAACTGATCTACATCTTGGTTGTAAACTTTCTCAAGGTCTTCTGAAGGGATTATGAAGTTATCCACAGCTTCTAGAGAATTAAGAACATAAAATTATTACTTTTATTTCGACCCTTAGTCTTGTTTCTCTTTTTACCTTTCTTCGCATTTTTGAGATCATTTTCTTTGGTTTCCTCCAGAATGCACAGAGAATCATTATTGATAAGGTGATTCCTCGCTTCCATCTCCATACTCTTATTCACAGCGTAGTTAGGAGATTTAGCATCTTCCCTCATAGAAGGATTGCGAAGACTGGAATTGAGCTTGTCAGTCTTCCTTATCAGTAATTTAGTGTCAACCTCTATAGTATGCTTAGAACTGGCTGCCAGAAGTTTGTCCTTCTCAGACCCAATTGTACTATTTGCCTTATTTTGAGTCTTTACTACAAAATTAAGAGGGAATATACCATTCGCTTTGGAGTTATGAGAGCTGAGCTTCTTCTTACTCTTATTCCGTTCTGATGTATAATTGTTGTTATTAATTCTGGCACCTCTTGGGATCCCTCCATAAGCATCAGCCATCATGAAATCTTTTCCTTTAGGCTTTTTATATTTCTCTTTGTTTCGAACAACGTTGCTCTTGAGGTGAACTGAAAGCAAGTTGTTTTCCTAGAATTTAATATGAAAAAGTACCTGATTTTCAAAACTAAAGGAGGTCTTGACTTTTTTGCGATCCTCGAACAGAGGAGGACCTGCTTCATAGTTATCACTTGTGACAGGATCATCTGTATTGTCATCAATGAGAGCTTCAAGGGTTTCCATATTAGCGTTGTTATAGTTACTTGGTCTATCTCTCATTTTACTGTTATCTCCGGAACTTTTACGGCTATTTTTGTAGAACTGATTAGGATCGACAGCATTTCCTGCCTCGCCTTTCTCTTCTTCATAAATTTTGAGGGGTTTGATTTCTTTTGGATGGAACTGGTGAATTTTTACGGATGATGATTTCTGATGGTTTGCTTTGCTCATATTAGCAAAGGTAATCATTGTACTTTCAGACTCTTTTCAAAGAAGCCCAGATCTAAATATTTTGGGTATCTCTCCATTTTCAGCAACAAGGTATGATTCAATGACTATATTGCCATTTCTATCTAAAATATTGCCTTCTTCGTCTGTATAGTAACCCTTTGAGTTAACTCGTCTATCATGATTGTCAATAGCTCCTCCGTTAGAGTCTTCTTCAAGTATCCTGACTCTTCCAGTAGAATTTTCCTCAAGATTCCCCTTTATAGTAGATATTTGGAAGTTTGTGAATGGGAATATTTTTGGGATCTCTCCATCCTCTTTTATCTCGCTCTCTTGGAACAAGATATTTCCAGTGTTTGAGATAATATTACCGTATTCGTCAATAAGGTAGCCTCTTTTGTTGACCTTCCTTTGGAAAATATCTTCATAGGTTATATTGCCAAGTTCATCAACTTCGCTAAGGATGATGGCATTTCCATCTTCATCTCTTTTGAACTCACCAATGCATTTTTTAATATGGAAGGATTTACCACTGTAGGTGTAGAGGTGAGGGATATCTCCCTCAGGAGTCATCTGGGAGGTATCTAGCTTGATTTCTCCATCAGCCCTTGAGACAATATTTCCGTTTATGTCTATCAGATATCCCTTTTTGCTGATCCTAAAGCCGTCTTTGTCCATGAGTTCCTTCCTCTTTTTACTTGCTTTGTACCTTTTAGGTGGTTTTTGGTATGAAAATCCTGTATCAACATTGCCCATGATGTCAGAAGGATTGAAGTTAAATCTATCCCAGAGGTACGGGTTAGGAATCTCTCCCTTAGAGTCTAGGTCAAATGCCTCAAACGCTCTTAACTTCTGATTGCTTCAGTACAGAATATTGCCAAATTTATCAACAAGGTATCCTCTTTCATTAACTCTTCGGCCATTGTTGCACACAAGATGTCCTTTAGAGTTAGTCAAGATAATCAGATTTCCTTCAGAGTCCTTATCGAATTCTCCCATGATGGAGTGCTCATTGAATTTCTTCTCGAATTTTGGTGGCTTGCTAAAGATCACTTTATCAAATCTTTTTAAGCTGGATTTCATTTTGTTAAGAGGCTCTTCCTCTTCATAAATGACTCCAAGTCTATTTACAGTGGAGATCTGATAAGTATCATGATCTATGTAATCTTCTGGGTCATGCCCATCTGAGGCTGATTCACGCAACTTGTGATTTTTGAGTTGCAGTGAATCATAGTCGAAAAAGGACTCATTGAAGCTGAAATTATCATTCCTTGCATTATCTTTAGTGAATGTTTGAGTGAAGGTGGACTTTGATGTGCGATTATCTGATATTTCAGCTTTTGGTTTTGAGTCTCAGTATACATTGTCTAGAAGTATTATTTCGAAGTCAGACTTACCTTGGAGATCTTCTTCATGCCTTGTACGCATAAACTCCCAATCTTCAATAACAACGCCTTCTCTAGTCTTAGGAGATACAGGGTATGAATATGGCCTATTTTCAGAATCACTTTCTTGGTATCAAAAGATATCAGGCAAACTATACCTCTCATGTATCCATTCTTTCCCTTTAGAGAGACATTTGATAATATCATCATCTTGCTGATCCTTCTCGTTGACCCATAGTGTATTAAGAATTTTTCGAAGCGCTTGTCTCCTGAGTTCGACATCATTATCGTCTGGAGGAGGAGCTGGAACTGCTTTGACATCTACAAAACTGTCTGCTACAGACTCTATACGCTCATAGTTCTCTAATTTAGCTGTGTTGAATTCAATAATCGTGATCAGGAGAGTTAACAACAAGAAGATCAAGCACTCAATTCAGGTGATGAAGAACTGAGTCCCCCAGCTCGTGGTGATCAAGCCAATGAAGCTTATCAGTACAATTGGGATCATTCAGATGATGAAATTTATTCCTGAAATTATTGTGATTGGGTAAAGCAAAGATCTCTTATCAGAAATTGAGCAGCTAAAATGCTCAAATCCAAAGAATTTCGAGTAAAACATTCTGAGAAATTTGAATGAAAGTACCAAAGATACTAGGATAGTGATGAAATAAGTGCAAGGGTAGCTCCTCTTCCAGTAGTTGAAGGAATCGTCTCTTTTAAGTTTTCAGCAGAGGTAGCATGTGAAAATTAGATTTAATAATATGTTTAGACTCACTATTAAGCCTCATATCCCGAGGATTGAGAAGTTGTCATGATCACGATAGGCGAATAAGCCGAGGGCTGAGTACAAGAAAATTTCTACAAGCCCCCAAAAGGAGATAACTACAGAGAGAAATTGGGAATTACTATCTTTGAGATTTCCAAGTGAAGCAAATATAGCTAGCCCAATTGCAATTCACAAGAAGGGGAAATAAGCAAGTCTGTAATCAGGGTTATCTGATTCTGTTGGAGGGGCAGGCTCTCAATATCCTGTTTGTAGATTTCCTTTGTATCCTGATGGTCAAACTTGGCAATTCTCTTCATATAAATAAAGTCCATTTGCACAAGAACTTCATGTTGTTGTGGTGTTGACACATGAAGAACATTTAGAATCTCAATCAAAACATTGGTCGCCTTGTTGTAAAGTATTATCAGGGCAAGTGCTAACTCATCCTGTTCTATAAAGCAGCAAAGTTCCTATTCAAGAGGTACAATCAGATGGAGATGGACCTCAACTACTACAAGGACTGTTACAATCAGTGCATATATTATTAACAGGAGTTTGGATGTTACTTCATTGATTAGTACAAGTTCCTCCTGCTTGTAAATAAGGAGTAGCTGATGTTGAAACTCAGCTCAAACAAAAAGTAGTGCTATTACATGTAGATCATGGTGTAGTGCATGCTCTTCAATTATTAGAGTCTGCGTAGCTTCCATCTGGACAAGTAGCATAGCAAAGATCAGTTTCATTATAAAAGAACTTGTAAGTTCCAGTAGTATTGCAAGTTTCACACACATTTCTATTTGCTTGAGAGCAAGTGAGTCATATCCCATTACACTGAACACAAGTTGTTCCACCATTCGAGCTGTATCCACTGTCTCAGCTCGCTTTACAAGTACCTGTCTGAAGGAGAGGCGAGCCTGTTTCTGCTTGTGTGAATCATGATGTACAGGCAGAGGCATTTGTTGATGAGCAAGTTTTTCAAGGATAGTTGCATTCAAGCGTTGGTACAAATCCATCAGAGACCGTGTCTATTGCAAAGTCGTTCTGAGTGTAAGTGGAGATTTCAAAACTAGTGAGAGTATCTGAAATCGGGTTGGTGATCCCTTGAATTTGAAATGAAATTTCAGAAGTCACATTAGTAGTTGTGTTGAATCCATTTAGAAGCTTTAAATTCCTACTTGCAGTATTGTGGTCAGATGTGCAATCTAAAATAGTATTTGCAGGAATTCCAGTCAGTCCCATACAAGTGATTGAAGAAGGAATTGTATAAGTGCTTGGGTAAATTAACTCTAATTTTGAATTCTGGGGAACAGGATTTGTAGGAGTAAATGTAAATGTATATGTCGATTCCTGCCCTGCACTCGTCACTGATTGCTGTAATCTTTGTCCAGTCAGAGCTCCAGCTCTATTATTTTGAATAGTTACTGAAGAGATTGTTGTATACCCACTCACATTATTATCATTTGTATCAATAAGTTTAGCAGAGATCATAGCTACAGGAGCTAAGCTTCCTGGGTTTCCAAGTGTATTTATAGTGAAATCGAACTGGGTCCCTTCGGAAACTCCTCCTCCAGTATATGAAATAGTTGTAGCTGTAATTGTCTTAGATGAAGAGTTCATAGTACAAGTAATAGTTACAACATTTGTTCCAGCATTACAGCTCAAGTCTGAATTTGATGCAGGAAAAGTGATCGACTCTGGGAAAACAAGGATGACTTTATCTCCATCTATAGAAGGTGTCTGGGCTGTAATCCTCACTATATAGGCATTAAAAGCACCGTTTATTCTATTTGTCTCTGTGCTTTGAATATTGAAATTTTGGAAATTCTCAACAGAGTCAATTGTCAAAGTGAAGCCAGTGGATAAAGAATTTATGAGATTCCCCGAACTATCCGAAATAGTGACAGATAATGAGCTTGTGGTTCCAGTCACTCGAGGATTACGAAGGCCTGGGAATCTAACAGATAGTTCCCCAGTTACATCGGAGGTGAACAAGGTTGTAACTCTGATCCTGTTAGTTGCTGGACTTTGACAAGTTACTGAAGAGAAAGCTGCTCCATTGATCGATCCTTGACATCCGGAAATTGCAGTTGTAGAATTCAGAGTGATTTCAGACGGAATTATGATATCAATAATTCCATTTGCTCTAATGGTATGCGGGCTTGTGAAAGTAATAGTATAAACTGCAGTATTATCATAAGCGACTGTGGAATTCGAGGTCAAACTTGGGCTTGTCAAGCTTCCAGAAGTTATTGTTACTCCGGAGAAAGTTCCTGTATCAACGAGATAATTATCTATCCCGTCTGTTATATAAGTTTCAATAGTGAAGGTGCCTGCATCTCCTGAAATATCAGGATTTGTCAGATTTCTAAGAGTTATCTCAAGATTTGTGCTTGAAGAAATGTAATTGGAACCTCCAAAAGGATTATTTATTTCCAAGCTATTTGCCCCTGAATTAACTGATCATGTGAGGGCTGATGAAAGGCTCCCTGCGATATCCGAGAAAGCTCAAGAAGAACCTACTATAACTCCTGCTGGGAATTTCATAACAATTTTTGGAGAATCTGAACCTGAGTACGAAAGTGAACTTTCTATAAATCATTAGACACTCTTTATAGTATGGCGTTTATCCTTAGCAATAACCGCCGAAAACGATTTAAATCCCTCAAAATCTTACCTGGATTAAACACAAATCGGTATTGAGCATCTGATTGTTGCACTTCAGTCCCAGTAGCTACAACAGAAGAGACAGTCACTGCTCCTGAGGTTAAGGATCCTCCATCAAGCGTTATTCCTGAAGTGACGCTTGCAATAATAGCACCTGAAGTAGTATACAGGCTAATCTGGAGAGATCCAGTGGTCTTTAGCTTATTCGGGTTCCTAATCTGCCTAAAAGTGACTACATTAGTGGCATTAAATGGAGTATTTGACTCTGAACAGTTGATATGAGCCGTGGTCTCAGTCCTTGCATGGAAAGTTACCCCTGATTTGAACAGATTTGAGCCGATGTAGGAAGTCAAGTCTGATGAAAGAGGAGTGTCACTGGGAAATGTGAACAGAGCTGAGGAGTTTAGGACTACTGGGAATGGTAAGGAGAAGAATATCCTGTGCTGAGAAAGAGAGTTGATTTTGGTATCGGAGCTGGTGATTGACCACTGAGCACCGGTGATGGTGTAAGCGTTTGGGACACTCCAGGATTGAGTACCTGAGTCTATCGTTCCTCCGTCTTGGGTTTTAGTGGTTATTTCGATTCCTGTGACTGGTTCTGTAGAGATTGGATTGACGATGCCGCCAATTGTGAAATTAAAAGTTCCAGATGAATTGGAGGATAAAAAGTTCGTGATGGTCACTAACTGTGTTGTTGAGCTGTAGCTACAAGTTAAGCCAGTCTCCATTGTCCCTCCTGATTGCCTTCAGGTAGGACTGACTACTACGTCATCATCCGAAACAGGTTGTTTAGGAAAGAATATAGTCATAGTCCCGTCAGTAGGAACAATATGAGGAACTGTCACAGAGAAAAATAAAGTAGCATTCGTTTCTCCGACATTTGGCTTTGAAGAGTCATGGTTGATTATCAAAGAAGTTATTGTTCCAGGGTCTACTCCTGTAATTTTTACGTTTGAAATAGAACCCTTTGATGCTCCTCCAGAGTCAGCTAATGTGAAATTCATTCCTCCTGTAGCAGGCCAACTTGATATGTAGTATACATCATTCGATGGATTTTGAGTCCTGATGCTCGAAATCGGATAAATAAAGTTCTCAATGTTAATAAAACCGAATGCAGGGACTCTATCAGAAGTCACTTGAATATTAAGTACAAGAGTATTCGTAGCTGCTGTATAAGCTCAACTTGAAATATTAAATTCTCCAAACTGTTCTGTACAGGTTGGAGTCGTACTATTCATCGACATCCCCGAAGGAAAAACAAGAGTAATGGTGTCTCCATTCGAGAATACATTGCCTGAGGGATTAAACTCTAGCGTCATTGTTCCTGCTTCTTGAACTGTAGCACCAGACTCTCCTACAAGTTTGGCTTCAGTTATATCTGCTGTGAGGACTCCAGATAAGAAGTAACCAAGGAGTAAGATTAGTAATCTGCAGAGAGAACTCATAATATATTTTTGTAATAATTTAAATTCAAAATATCTCGATATTAGAGGGGTTTTGGGGTTTTGGGGTTTTGGGGTTTTGGGG